GACATCAGAACAGAAGTCAAGCCCCTCACTGACAGTGTGCACTCACACACACACACACACACACACACACACACACACACACACACACACACACACACACACACACTACAACAACTACTACTACTACTTGCCTTATGCTAACCCCTATCCTAACCTAATCCTAACCTAAACAATAACCATAACTAATTTTAAAACATGTCTTCATCTCAAAATGTTTTCATTAACATTATGGGGACTGGATTTTTTTGTGTAAACAGATTTAGGTCTCCACAACATGAGTAATACCTGGACGGCACACACACACACACACAGACACACACACTGCAATCTTTGCCATTGTGACAGCACTGGGTATGACTAATCTCTGGAGAACTGGGACAGATAGGACCGATAGGTAGATGCGTACAATACATGAAAGAGATAATAGGAACTGGCAGCGTGACATGGCAGGGAGAATGGGGAACACTTTGGTAATGATAGTGGCAGAGCATGAAGATGCCGCAGCAGAACAATGTGGCCTAATGTGGGTAAATTAGGATCAGAACAGTCTGTGAGTCATGGGCACCATGACAGATGCTGTTTACAATTAACAATGGTTGGTTTGGAGAACCACTTACCAGCCACATACACTCACTGGCTTCACAACGTTAAGTTTCATTGTGAAATAAAGCACAAGAGCGAGGACTTTGTCACAGCAGGTTTAAACTCTGGTGAGCAATAGTGTTTAATCTCTGCTTAAACAGTTTAATTCACAAATAGCTGCTAATTCTGCTGAAGAACCCCCTGAAAACAAACAAGATTAAATCAATTAATACAATGATCCTGCAACACTAAACAAAACCTTCATTTATGTGAGCCACAGTAATGTAATCTGAGGGTGAACTCTGGTATACAGTAATAAGATTGTTCTCTTAGGCACATTTGCATCAACAAACTAATTAAGTATATGAGATGACATGCAGCTTTGTCATATTTCCTAAGACGCACAGATTGAGTTTGCAGAATGTAACCTAAGATTCTCCAACTCTCTGGTTAAGTTAAGTCGGGTGGCAGGAGATTAAATCTCCATTACATAACAGTCTTATGTTTTGCTCATTGTCATCATTAAAAATACATCTAGGACAGGGCCCTACAAATAAACCCGACCTCTTTTTGCAGGGTCATCAGTGTCCTGAGGCAGTTTTGGATGTGAGGACATTTGACACAAATGCAAATGAATTGGAATAAATGCAAAAAAATTAAATGAGACAATGTTCTTTTTCTGTTATCTTCTTTGCATATTTTACAGTCTCTTACTTTGATTTGTCTTCGTCATTTCTGTGACAGTTGTTTTCTATTGTGGTTGTTTTTAACTAATTTGTTTCATGTTTGTGTAGAAGAATTTCAAGCTCAACCAAAATAGAGTAGTTCTCACAGGAAACTTAAATACACAGTTGCACGTACCTGTTAATAAAAGGCTTTGAAGATGCTCTCCGAGTGACAGGCTTGCATTTCTGAAAACCTCTGGTTTCAGGACAACAGAGTTTAATGAACACAAGAGAGAAAAATCTCTTTTTCCTCTCAGCTCCAGAGCCTCGCTGCCTGTATCTGCATATCTGGTGCACACTAACACCCCCAGTGCATAATTTGTGCACGGCCCCTTTATGAAACATTCACTAACACTTGTACAAGAATGGGCACGTGTGCACACACAAACACGTGCGCTGGAGGCTTAGCCTATTGTGGTGGATTTTAAAATGTATAGTACTAATCCAATTAGTGAGCAACACATTAATTACACGCAGTGCAAGTGAATGAAAGAATGCACCAGAGGGATATGAAGAGGTTGTGTGATTGTATCGTGGTACATTTTAATAATGTCCACTGAGATTGCATTCTTTATACCTTTTATTTCATTAACTGTTTTGGTACAAATGCACACATCTGTGTTCAAAAAATGTTTTCTGTTGAGATCCAGGGTTAAACCTACAGTCAGAGGTGGGATGTTACCAGGTGCATGTATTGTATTGTATTGTCACTGTATACATTTTAAATTTTTCTGTACTTCACTTAAGTAGATTTATTTTGAGGTACATCAGCAAATATCTGTACTTCCTCCATCACGGTATTTTTACAAAGTATTCTGTAATAACAAGATTAGCTCACTAATCCAATCAGAGCTGACAGGTAACATGAGACCCCGCCTCCTTCAACAAGCAAAGTGCATCTGCAGAAGCAGCATCACTGGTGAACAAACACTAAACTGGATTTGCAAGAGGATCTCAGTAGAGCACATACCTACAACAGTCCTCTATCACTCATTAAGATCAGTGCTCTTAATATGCCAGATTGTTTTCATCAAGATCCATGAATCTTTCCCAGGGAAACAGTGAAATGCTGAAAATCACTTGCGATGTTTAAGAAAGTGAAAAGAATTCAGATTTCCAGGTCCACACTAAAATTTAATGGGTGCTCGGGTGCATTAGGAAATTGGATATAACTGGCAAGTACTTTTAGTATAATCAAAAGTAGAGTCATATAATCAATCAGTTACAATTCTGTTCTAGTTATATAATGATTCTCTTTCTGTGCTACATCAACATTATCCTTGAAATCTCAAAACTTGTTTGGTCCATCATACTTTAGTTTGTGTGGCTGCACTGACAAAACTTCTGAGGTTGTCAAAATCAAACAAGAGCATGTTTTCATTTCTTTTGGATTCAGCTTTTATTTTCAGTTTTGCAGGTGTCCACAAAGTAGAGAGAGAGAGAAAACAGTGATAGCTCAAACTGTCGGCTGCATTTCATCAGAGATATGTGTCTTTCAAAACAACAACACAGAGACAGAACATAAATAGACATTCTGTACAAATAAATCCCATCATGCCATGCTGTATTGGCAGCATCAGGGGGGTTGATTTAATGGGCAATATTGATCTTCAACATAAAAAAATATTTCTTGTGTTTATTGGCCAGTAAGTCAGGATGTTCAAAGATTCAAACTCCCTCTGCTTCCTCTGTAGTTTTGCTGGTGGTGTCTGGGATACGTAGGATCACCGGGAAGATAAAAGAAGTTTTGAAACTGAACTGTGGATTGATTTAATAGAGACCAACAAAAACTAGGACAAAATAAGGGAAACTGAACATTTACCTCATGTACAAAGAACCCTGTGACATTTTATTTTTGACTGAACATTATGTACAGATGTGCCTCATGTCTATTGTCCCACTGTTGTCTCCTCAGTCTAGCTGCTGCTGTCGGTCGGGCTGTTCTGGACAAAGCTCCTTGGTGGGATCCATCACAACCGGTGCAGGCAGCTGATAACACCTCAGCTGATCCCTGAACTCTTCCATCTCCGTCTGCTCCAATTCCCTTCTTCTGCTCAGCAGGTACAAGTCCGTTGAAATCCTCTTTGTTGACCTCACGTTCCACCTCATCACCAGGCAGTCCGGACAGGAAGTGCGGAGAAAAGACCCTGTGAGCTCAAAGCGTTGAACATCAAAGCTGAAGGCGCTTTCTTGTACTGAGACGTTGTAGCGCAGGTGCTGGCACAGGTCCCCAAAGCGGTTGACTTGGGTGTAAGAGATGGTGGAGGCGTTACTGGAGTTGGAGAAGTACATAGTGATGCTGTCTCTTAGTCTCAGTGCCTCCATGGCCGCCGTGTTGTCGAGACTTCCTGCAACTAAAGCCCATTTACCCTCGAGATGATGAGGGTCTGGCTGATCCAAAGGGTGGACCAGTTTTTCACAGACCATGGGAGCTGAATGGCCCACAGGCATTAAGCATTGTATGAGAGCGATGGCACACACAGCAAACATGTCTCTGGATGTTGACGTTTGTTGCTGCTTCTACAAGTTGATATCAGGTTTTTACCTTTCTGTGGGTTTTCTCAGTTGTAAACGTCTCCTCTGATGGTCCGTCCAGTTTTATAGTGTTGACTG